ATTTCATCGCCACCGTAGCCACTTCTTCGTTACTTAATACATCCCACACCTTTAAACACAAAAGAAACCATAGAAAATTCATTAGTTACATGAATCATTCAAACGTTATTATTTTGAATTTGGGCTTTGTATTGGGTTTGGCGTATTATTTTGATATAACAACAAAAAAAGCCTTAAACGATTGGGCTTAAAAAAGAAAACAATAGTAAAGTAAACTCTAATCTCATATAATTGATTTGGTACGATTATAATTTCGGTTTACCATCTTTTCAATCAAGTGTATTGGTTTGGCACGGTTTAAGTTTCGGTTTAGATCCCATTTTTTTTAATCAAATATCACTAGATTTTTGATGACTATTTGAAAAAAAAATCTACGAATTTTTTAATATATCAAAAAAATTAGAAATAATAAATATCAAATAGTACATCTTTCATGTATATAAAAATATTTTATCATACAAACTTTAACTTGCATGACAATTGACTTGCATATAAGCATTTTTTGTGTGAACTGAATACGTTTGAGACTATCAGTTTTCTCAAACTTATTTGAGTTAACCAAACCCAAAAATATAGCTTTAGTAAATAAAAATCTTTTAAAATAAAAAACTAGATAAATAATAAAAAGTGAAACTGATGAATTTTTAAAATTGAAACAATAATTTTTTGTTTTTAATTTTTGTTTGTTTAAACTGTTTGGATTCCACCAATATCAATAAACCTATCATGTTTTTATATAATTTTTTTTTTGCAAAGTTGTTCGTTTATAAAAAAAAAACTCTACTTAAGTTGGACTAATATGGATACAATTTCAGTGATTTTAATATGGATACAATTTAAGTGATTTTAAAGAAAATAATTGTATGATTAAATTATATTTTCAAATATGCTATTTAAATGGACAATAATATATTTTTTTATAAAATAATTGACTTTGGTAAATGATATTTCGTTAAAACATTATGTTATATTATATTTTAAAATATTTTATATTATATTTAAAATATGAAGATGTTAGTTTTAAGTTATATTTAAATTTGTAACATGTATTTGTGAGTCGATGTTAAAAAATTAATGAAAAGATGTAGAGAATTCTATTATAGCATATAAATTTTATTGAAATATTTTGATTGGTTATTTAGTGACATGTCCTTTAAAATCCTCATTGAATGACCCCGCGATTTCTTATGGCCACAAACATCCCATGTAATTCAGTCTTATGGTTCTTCGTTATCTGCATATGGTCTTTTTTTTCTAGATGCTCATTTTGCACATATGATTTTTTCACTTAGT